GTTTCTGCACTTGAGTTGTTTCATGGAATGATAAAAATCCTCTCATTTTAATAGTTTTCAGTGACCTTTATCTCATCTTGCTACCATGATAAAGAGCAATGGAAATAACATGGAATTAGGGGTCATGTCCTGTGTTCATGGCTCTGGATCCCAGAGACCCAGATGTTGCAGAGGATAAAGAAGAGAATCTAGGTATCGGGTGGTGAACTTCATTGAGATTTAACAATTTATCATGAAATTTAACTTCCCTGTGAACTTTTTAAACCCTTATTTCCCTATGGGAATTTACTAATGTGAGGAATTTATATTATTCAAATTAGGGGCAATTTATTCTAATACGTGACTTTTTAGGGTGGGGAAGCTAAGATGGGTCTATGGAGAGTTTAGAAATACGATAGGGGGTGAATTTTTGGTTTAGTGCATTGTGCAGCTTTCAAGTTAACCTAATTAGAGTTCTGTCCTGGCCCATTTCAGAAGCTTAGGGGAGGGGGTAGGGCAAAATATGAAACTCCCACCTCACTGGTCTCAGAAAGGGATAAATATCAAGGGAGAGGCCACCTGAATGAGGCAGTAGGCCCTCTAACCCAGGGCCTGGGCTGTCTTAAGCATTTTCTGTTAATCCTAATGGTTGAAAGAGGACTAAAACTGGCCAGAGAGGGGCTCAGGGAGCAGGGACCGGGAGCTCCCAGTACCTCTTCCAACCCAAGGCAAGCTTACCTTCTCAGCTCTCTGACCCCACCATCTCTACTACCCTCTTAGAAGACCAAGGAGCTCTCAGTGATTGGATTCTGTAACGCTGATTGGGTCCCATTCCCTAGCAGGTGGGATTTCTGTGCTACACAAAGTTACACTGGCCTGGGAGTGTCCACTCCTCAATTCTTTCTTTCTCTGTGGCTGGATGGACAAGCTGAGACAGGTCATATCCACCAAAATAGGCTGGGCCATCCTGTATTTCCTCTTTGCTGTCTCTCACTTGCATGTTGCATCTTGCAGCAAGAACCTTCAACACAGTGGCCAGCAGGTGTTAAGATTGGGATTCAGGGACAAGTAAGAATTCCTTTTTGGGCCTTGCGCTGAAGTTTTAGATTTTATCCTAATTTCATCTGAGAACCTGACACTAAGGATTATGGTCACCAGGTAATAAAACAGTGCCTTATTTTTTAATTGATATGTTCCTTGTGTGAGTATCTCTCTTAGCAATCCTATAAAGAACAGTTATTATTAGCAGAACAGGATTTGGGAATTTGGGGATTCTTGACTATTCGGTAACCAACTGTCCTGGTTTGCCTGTGACTGAGGGGTTTCCTGGGACACACAACTCTCAGTGCTAAAACTAGGAAAGTCCTTGACAAGCTGGGATGAGTTGATAGTCTTACCTGAAATGCCATGTGAAAGCCATTAAAACCCACGTGTAATTTAACTCCTACTGGCTTCAATATGTTGCCAACTCTCTCTCAGCCTTAAATCCCTCACCTGTAGAAGAGTTTTCTGTTAAATTATACTAAATCAAATTCCTTAGCATATTTTCTGGTTCACAGTAGATGCCCCATTATGTGTTTTTATTTTATTGTCTTACTTTTATTGGGACAACAGAATAAAAAAGATATTCTGAGAAGAAAGCACAAAATACAAGGAATTGAATTACTTTTCTGAGTGGAAGAATTAGAAAAGTTTTCTGAGCCCCCTTTTCTTTGAGGCTTCCTACCCCACTGTTAAGCAGCATCAAGACTGAACAGTGGGACAGTGAATGTATCCCACTCCTGAAATAAACCAGGGGCCACACAAGGACCACGGATGAGTGAAGTGGGATGAATGGACTTGTGGCAAGCAGCTTGTGAATGGAGCAGGCAACCATTCAGCCCTAACAGATTGTGGCCACACGAAGAGGAGGGCCCCGTGTGCCGGATGGTACAAGTTTTTTTCTCAAGAAGCCATATGTATGATTTTTTTAATATGAAATATACTGCTTTGATTATGTTGACATCAAATTTAAAACTTTTACAAACAACATATAAGCCAATCAAAACATTCCGTGGACCTTTAACCATCTTGTTAAGTTTCTTTATTGGGGTAAGAGAGTGAAGTCGGATGTCATAAGACAACTAAAGAAAGTTTATTCTTCTCAGACAGAATAATTGTGTCAAAAGGAAACCAAAGTAATTCAGTGATGATCAAAAAAAAAAAGACAGGAAGGTCCCAGGATTTGAATTTGTGTTATCTTGTAAATCTAACAAGTCAAAACTAAACCTGTGGGGTTGCAAAATTATAAAGGTAGAACCTGCTAGCAAAGCTCCATGAAATGTTTGCAAGCATTAGCTGACAGGTTTCAAAACAGTTTGAATATTAGTCATCACAGATATGCCTGCCAGAAAAGGTAGTGAGTTAGAACACTTACAGTGCAC